GGGGTGAAAGGCGAGGAAAACTTCTGAAAGAATCTGTCTTACACTGCCAGTGTTGTTTCTATTTTGTCTTTCTGGTCTTGTATCAAACAGATGATTTTCAGATTGGGCGACAAAGAACAAGAACAAGAAAAAAAAAATTGTGTCCAAACAGCCAGTGAGGTAAGGAGCTCAAAGTACGTCTGGGTGATAATGCCTTTAGTATTAATCCCCTGAAAATCTATGCTCTGTAGCAAAGTCGAGAAGCAAGATTGCATGATATTTAATATAAGGCAACTAAACTGAAATTGTGCTGCATCTTCTATTGATTTCCCTGTATTCTCCTCAGTTACTAGGCTACTGTAACTGTTATAGATGCTTTAAGTGTTTACATGTTTCTTTATGAAATGCAGAATGCTGAAATTTATTTATATCTGCATTTATGTATGACATCTACTTATTCTTAAAAAAATAACTTCTGCTATTCACCATATTGCTGATAAAGTACTCATATCCGTATTTATATTTTGCCCTTTAATGATATTTGCTATTTCTTAATGACATTTACACAATATATTTATATTTATTTGCCATATAGCATTTAGTTATCACGTATGGAGTTCTCTGCCTTTACTAGCAGTCTACTTCAGAACAAATGAGGCTTTACAGTAAGAAGTACAGAAAAAAGCGTTCATAAAAAAAATCAAATATTGAAAATGTAACTGAATACAGTTTTGGGACTAGGTTTTGACTACATTCTACTTCACTGTTGTAAAAATTTTACCTCACCCTATGTGTTAATGATATTTTAGATTAAACTGTGTATATGGAATATGGAAATGGTTTAACAAACTTTAAAAATATTAATCTTTTAATCAAAACTTTTCCACATCCCATCTGATTAAAAAACCTTGTATATGAAGCAGAATTCTTGGAAAATAAAAGATAAGTTTCTCAAAAAGAATAGATGTTCCTATTTTTTCAGCCATGTAGCATTTTCAATTCATTGTGCATTATATTTTACAAATGACCTTAGTGTATTTCCACATCATTGTAGAGGAAAAATCCTTGTTTCATAGCCCAAGAGTTTTGAAGCACCACATCTTCATGATCAGTAATTGAGATCAATAGCTTGAGAACTAAAATGTGCCAGTTAGAGTATTTGATTTGTATTCAGTGAGAACAGTTCATAGATTTATTTAGTACCACCTAAACATAGCTTTACTCTTAAAATAGAAAGAATATACTATTACTATTATACTATAAACTATACATACTTCCCATGTTCTTTGCAGCTTTAAGAGTATGTAGGGTTCCATCTGATCTGATTAGACTGAGCAGAAGAAAAAGGGGATAAATGTCAAAGCATTCACACAGCGCTCTTCAGCCATACTTCACAGCGAAATGGTTTCCAGACAGGAGAAAGTGAAAATGGCAGCTGATTAGAAAATTGAAGTCACTCTGATCAATGTAGAATACTGTTCAAGTATTGCATGTTACACATCTTGCGCTCTCAAAAATGCCTTTTATATTAAGTGGTTAAAGAAACTATTGCAACTTTCAAGGCACCTACAGAAGGATAATCTGAAATATCACAAAATAATAAATAAAATTTTTACTATTTGCATTCTAAATAATAATTAGTTGTTTTACTGATGAAAATGCTACCTAAAGATTCTTTGTCAATTAGGAAACTGTCTGCACTGCATGTTATCACACAGTATTGTTACAATCACTTTCCAGGACTATGATTTCTTCCTACTAAGCCTATGCTCTGTCAGTAACACTGAGAAACCACTTAATTTAAATGAAAGGGAAAGAAATTTTGGAATTAATACTTAGGTTGAAATTCAAATTTGAATGTGTTTTTATTAAATGATAACATGAGAAATGTCACACTGTAATAGATAATTGTTCCATCTATCTGTTGGCCTGTGATTGTGTCTCCAGTGCCTTCAAGAGATGTTGCCAAAGGAGAACACAGAATGCTTGACAGTATCCTCCTGCAGGACATTCTCCCTGTTCATTTCCTAACATCTGCAGATTCTGGATTCAGGGGCAGCAGACATTTACTCTCCTTTTTATTCATTTGTGAACATGTTATCTGTGAAAGTATGTGGTTCCCTTTTTAAATATACCAATATTGTCTGCCTTTACAACCTGACACCTGATCTACTGAGTGGCAACTCTGACTGTAGGAGAGTGGATGAAACAAGATGTAGTCAGTTTACTAAACCAACTTATAGAGACTACCTCCACAACCTTATGGGGGTAGTAAAATTCAAAATTTCTCCTACAGTGGGATTTGAAGAGTAACAGCTTTATCGTCTTCACAGCCAGGCTCTTTTCAGTAGTGCCCAGTGCCAGGACAAGAAGAAGTGAGCAAAAACTGAGACGCAGGAGATTCTATTCAACTGTCATCTTTGATTCTGTGATATGGAAGAAATCAAGATATTTGCAGAAATGGAAAAGCAGATAACTGCATTCTCCATAGACTTTCTCATCATGTCTTACATTATTTACTTTTGCATTGCCACTATACATTTTGCTGAACGTTCAAGATAAATGTCAAAAATGTCTTCAGGATCTCTTTCCTGACTGGTAAATGCCAGTGACATATGCAGCACTGTATAAACATTAGTTTATATTTCCCTTAATTCATATGAAGATATTGCTTTATATTTATCCATGTTGAAGGTTGTCTGCAATTTTTTTCACTACGTTTTTTGAAGTCCTTCTATAATTCCTCAGTATCAATATGATACATAAATACTCAAAGTAATTCAGTATAATCTTATAAGCTTCCAATCACTTTTTCTTAAACAAACAAAAAGATACTTATTTATTTTATTTACAGAATAAATCCAAATCATGGATTGAAATCTACGTATTACAGGAGAAAATAAAATAATACAAAAACAATTTAAAAATCATCAGAAAAAAAATCAAAACTGCTACAGAGAAGAATGAGTGGAAAGGAGGTATTATGAGAACCAAAACATTGCAAGCCTTATCAAATTAATGAGACAAGCAGTGTCAGTAAACAAGATATTTTAGTTCATTTAACAATACTTTGAAAGTATACTTTGAGAAATCTAAGGTTCTCAGTAAGAAAGAGTGATGTGATTCACCTTTTTTCAAGATCTGACGAGTTTTACCTTGAATCACTATGATTAATCTTATCTGGAAGCCTAAAGATAAAATCTGTGCACATAATTTATAAGCTATTTGATAATGAAAGCATCAGTATGTACCTGTAAAGTCTAGAACACACTTATGTGAGTGTAGAAATTTAACCATGCCACCCAGGTTTGAAAATCTAGCTACAAATCAAGGTATTATGAAACAGGAATTGCATACATACAGACTTGTGCACATTATTGATTAATCTGATATATTACTGAATTTAAATACCATGATATTATGGAAGGTATTTCACTGACATCAAGGACCCATCCTTCAATTAGGGCTTTATTTTCCTATACACCTTTAAAATTATTTTAATATTTTCCTCTACTGACAGTCATTTTCATACCCTATGCAGCTCTAAGACCTGGAATCAGTTTTTAGCATATACCTATGACAGTTCTTTGCTTCTACTGATGTTTCCCCATCCAAAAGCAGACATATCAACCTCATTCTTCTCTCTCCCATTACAGTTATGCTAAAATATATGTCATGAGTTGAGAAGCAAGGAAGGGTTTTCAGCATGAAAGACCATTATCTTGCCATTCTCTAAATGATACCATAATCTATGATATAAATACATCATAATCTCTAAAACAGTCATAAAGGGCAGTTGTTCTGTAATACAATTAGATGAATATTATTGCTTTCATCTGTCCCCTTCTGTTTATTACTTCCAAAGACATATCTAGTTTTTACTTTAGTCCTTTAAATACAGAGGAAAAAAAAAAGTTTAAAGAGTATTGTATAGCTCATAATGCCAAACACACAGAAGCTTATATATAATTATAATATCAGAATCAAGATTGACTTTATCTCCTTTGGTGAATGCCATATTACATTTTTTAGATTTAAGGCAAGGGTGTACTTTTTTATCCTCCAAATCCCTGTCTCATTCAATTTAGAGGAAGATAGTCCTCATTAATAAGCAGTGTTACTTTTTTTTTTTTTTTTTTTTGTCATCATCTTGTGTAACAGTCTGTATGCAGCTTCGTTCACCAAAGATCATTCAAATCTTGCCCCAAAGATAGAATTATTTATTTATTCATAGCTTATGTATCTATTTATGTGTGTACACATATATAGTGATCATAGTGTAGTACCAAATGTTTCAGAAGTATTACAAAGCATTATATTCAAAGATATGGAATGTCTTCCATATTGGGAATTATCAAGGTGGGAATATGGGAGCTGTAAAGAGTCAGACAAGGGGGATACTTTAAAAATTCACAAACCGTAAGTGGTTCAGTGAAATGCCATAGGAACATACTGGAGCAGTTTATTCAGGTACATCAACTAAAAGATATTGTTGAGAATTTTGTCTACCCCTTAAGATGCATTAAACACATTTGTGTTTATAAAAAGATTTATTGAAAAATGCATTTGTCAGCATCTTACCTCCGTAAGCAGTTCTGAGTCTACAAAGATGCCACACAAGCACAACTCATATGAGCATTTGCATTGGGTACCTTAACCTGATGTTTTGTTTATCCTTCATTCTCCAGTGCCAAATATGATAACCAAAGTATGAGATTGTTACAAGACAATGCTGCAGCAATTCTTTTCTGTCAGTGAGGGAATCTTCAGCATTTTAAATAGTGTTGTTCAGTCCCTGGCTACTTTCAGCCAGTTTAACGTCTTCTGCAGGCAGGGTTTCTTACCCTCTTTTACTTTCCACTTCTTGGTCACAAATTACCATTCTTGAGTAGTTGAAGTTTCCCTTTCATTAACAAATCAAACCAATCCATATTTTCTGTAAATAAAAGATCAGAATTCATATTATGAAAAATACTGCAGGTGAGATATAAATCCACACAGGAGAAACCTGCTGTCATTTAATAAATTCATATGGACCTTGGCCAAATCATGAAATTCCTGAGCCAAAAATAGCATGACTTTGGGAAAATACTAAAGAAGTAGATCATGCATAATTTGCATGGTTGTTTTTTTTGTTTTTTTTTTTT